ATGGCGCTTTCTTTGGTGATAGAAGATCTAATTGTGGAAAGAATCAAAACTAAAGTTGAGGATAACTCTTTTTTTTACCTATATTCCTGATTACGAATCAAGAAGCCTTTATCAACAAGAGTGAGTTCTTCCTTTCGTGAAATTAGGAAAATAAAACGAATTTCTTCTTCTTGTCTTAGGTATATAATTTGAAATTCAAATATAGATAATAGAGTTTTGTATCTTTCTCTATCTCCCGAAAAACCATTTTAGCTAAAAATTCATGTTGGGTCGGATTCGAACGAATCTTTCGATAATCTGTAAGAAACTCTTTATCTATTTTTAGAAAATTAGAAGACAAGAACAAAAGACAAAGAAATGAAGAAAAATAATAAAGTTTATTATGATACATATCTTTCTCATGTAGGAGATGAATAAGTCCATTTATTTAGTTCTACAGTTCTACATTCTTTGCACTTATTATACCTACTCAGTTAGATTTAGATATATAGATACTTAGATCTATACTAAGAATTTCAAATTCTTCAAATTCTATTAATAATAAATATTATCTAATTTCTAATTAGTAATTAGAATTCAAATTCTTAATTTAATTATAATTATTACAAGATATCTTTATTTATATAATAACATAATAACAGATACAAATAGTAAATCGAGGTACCCTTCTATGACAAATTTGAACCTTCCATCTATTTTTGTGCCGTTAGTAGGCCTAGTCTTTCCGGCAATTGCAATGGCTTCTTTATTTCTTCATGTTCAAAAAAATAAGATTGTTTAGATCCGCTGGGACCCAATCTCATCCATTTTTTTTTTGAAAACGTTGGACTTGTATCATAACACAGATATCTATTTATTGGAATATAGTATAACATGTGATTTCCACCGAACATAAAGGAAAAAACTCTTATGCCTGCAGAAATATGATATATGGATATATCAATTCTAGCAATTTTCAAATAGATCAGGATTGCTGGATGCCTGAAATGTAGTCGGTGAATCTCTATGTATATCGATATGTATAGTGGGATCGTATTAAATAAAGAGTATGTTATTATTTTAGATTTAACCAATTTGATGAATTACTCCTAAAGGTTGACATCAAACTAGTGCTAGTTCACCTCAAACTAGTGCTAGTTGATGAGAGTTACTTCGGAAACAAAAAAGTAAAGTCAAATTTCTCTGGGGTATTATCTCAATTCCAATAAAATGCAATCGGGTAAAGTATGACTTGGCGATCAGAACATATATGGATAGAACTTATAACGGGGTCTCGAAAAATAAGTAATTTCTGCTGGGCCTTTATCCTTTTTTTAGGTTCATTAGGCTTCTTATTAGTTGGAACTTCCAGTTATCTTGGTAGAAATTTGATATCTTTTTTTCCGCCTCAGCAAATCATTNAAAAATTCATATTGGGTCGGATTCGAACGAATCTTTCGATAATCTGTAAGAAACTCTTTATCTATTTTTAGAAAATTAGAAGACAAGAACAAAAGACAAAGAAATGAAGAAAAATAATAAAGTTTATTATGATACATATCTTTCTCATGTAGGAGATAAATAAGTCCATTTATTTAGTTCTACAGTTCTACATTCTTTGCACTATTATACCTACTCAGTTAGATTTAGATATATAGATACTTAGATCTTTATTTATCACAAGGTAGAGATGAATACTATATGGTAGTGGCAGGAAATTCTTTAGCCTTAAATCGGGATATTCAGGAAGAACAGGTTGTTCCAGCTCGATACCGTCAAGAATTCTTGACTATTGCATGGGAACAGGTTCATCTTCGAAGTATTTTTCCTTTTCAATATTTTTCTATTGGAGCTTCCCTCATTCCTTTTGTCGAACATAATGATGTGAATCGAACTTTAATGAGTTCTAATATGCAACATCAAGCAGTTCCTCTTTCTCGCTCCGAGAAATGCATTGTTGGAACTGGGTTGGAACGACAAGTAGCTCTAGATTCGGGGGCTCTTGCTATAGCCGAACGCGAGGGAAGGGTCGTTTGTACCAATACTGACAAGATTCTTTTAGCAGGTAATGGAGATATTCTAAGCATTCCATTAGTTATATATCAACGTTCCAATAAAAATACTTGTATGCATCAAAAACTCCAGGTTCCTCGGGGTAAATGCATTAAAAAGGGACAAATTTTAGCGGATGGTGCTGCTACGGTTGGTGGCGAACTTGCTTTGGGGAAAAACGTATTAGTAGCTTATATGCCGTGGGAGGGTTACAATTCTGAAGATGCAGTACTTATTAGCGAGCGTTTGGTATATGAAGATATTTATACTTCTTTTCACATACGGAAATATGAAATTCAGACTCATGTGACAAGCCAAGGCCCTGAAAAAGTAACTAATGAAATACCGCATTTAGAAGCCCATTTACTCCGCAATTTAGATAAAAATGGAATTGTGATGCTGGGATCTTGGGTAGAGACGGGTGATATTTTAGTAGGTAAATTAACACCCCAGGTCGTGAAAGAATCGT